ACACCCTCACCATCTCCAGAGATGGCCCAAGCTACTGACTCCGTTGTCGTCCCACAAACACATTCAGACCAATCGACCTTCTGTTCGATGAATGTGTTTGAGTCCTTAGAGGAGCTAGAGGAGGAGTGGTCCAAATCGGACCCGCTAGCTTCTTGGACGGCCATGGCCAAAGCCCCTAAGAGTGAGTTGTTCGTCGGCGAGGTAGTTATAGGCGGCGGCAAGGCCGGGGCCTTTTATGACACTTGCTCGACGAGGAACTTTATGAGTCGTGAATGCGTTGAGAGGCTGCGCTTACAGGGGCAAGTGCAACGCCTGAGTCGACATGTGGAGTCGACCTGTGCCAACAAACAGCGCATGGTAGTCAATGACTACCTTAAAGATATTGAGTGTTTTTTCCCGTATGCAGGAGGGGAATTGAGACATCGAGTCTCGTTCCCAGTCAGCGATGAACTCCCGATGGATCTCTTGTTAGGTATGTACTATCTTTCGGTTGCACATCCCCAGTTTGACTGGGACCGAAAAGTGGCCAAACACACTTTGCCCGGAGGGGGGACCGCCAAATTACGAAAGTACAAAGCTAGTAGTTTGATCGAGTCCTACAGATGCATGTGTGTGGCTGCGTTTTATAACTATTATAAGCAAAATCCGGAGGAGGGTATGTACTTGGTTTATGTCTCTGTAGAGGGCGAGCAAGTGAAAATCCCTCCAGAGATAGAGGGAGTGTTCGCTAAGTACCCTGATCTATTTGAAGAGTTGAAAGAGGTTGTTGAGAGGGAGGTCGTCCACGCGATAGAGATTATCCCAGGATCTAGTATGCCGAAGGGTAGGATCTATTGGATGTCTCCAGCTGAGCTTGATGAGTTTCTCCGACAACTCAAGGAACTCATAGAGAAGGGTTGGATCCGACTGAGTGTCTCCCCTTTCAGATCTCCTGTCTTATTCGTGCCTAAGAAGGGGGGAACCTTGAGGATGTGCATTGATTATAGGGGGGCCAATACCATCACTGTGAAAAACGCAGAGCCCCTACTGCGCATCGATGACTTGTTGGATCGAGTGCAAAGGTGTCGGTACTTCAGTAAAGTAGATCTAAAGTCCGGGTACCATCAGATTGCAATACGGCCAGAGGATCAACACAAAACCGCTTTTCAGATCAGGTACGGTCTGTACGAGTTTGTGGTGATGCCTTTCGGCCTTTGCAATGCTCCTGGCACCTTTCAGCACGCCATGATTCAGATCTTTCATGACTATTTGGACAAGTTTGCCATCGTGTACCTCGATGACATACTTATCTTTAGTAGGACTGTCGAGGAGCATGTTGGCCATTTAGACAAAGTCCTTAGCCTCCTTCGGCAGCACCAGTTCAAGATCAATACGGGAGAATTGCGAGTTTGGCCGCACCCGGATCTTTTATCTGGGTCATGAGATTTCCGCAGATGGATTGAAGCCCAATGAGGCGAAGGTGGTCGGCATTCCTGGCTGGCCGCGCCCTCAATCTATGACTGAGATGAGGTCCTTCTCAGGGATGACCGGGTACTACCACAATTTTGTGAAGAACTATACCATAGTGGCCGCACCTTTGACGGACCTGACACGCCTTGACACCCCTTGGGAGTGGACAGACAGGTGTGAGGCTGCTTTCAGACATCTGAAGCACTCCTTGACACACCATGAGGTCTTGAAACTTCCTCATCCTGACAAGCCATTCATAGTAACCACGGATGCCAGCCAATATGGCATTGGTGCCGTGCTTGCGCAGCAGGAGGGGACAAAGGCGCTCTGATTGGGCTTGATGTAATGCCAGCCTGGTGTGGATTGGTGTAATGCCTCGACAGGTGTCTGACAGGGACTCTGATTGGGCTTGATGTAATGCTTAGACAAGTGTGGACTGTAACGCCAGCCTATACAAAAACGTTGTGCACAGCGCAACTGGGGTGAGCCCTAACAGTCTGCTACTGACTTTCAAGCCTAGACTGCCCATAGACTTTCTACTACCTGAGAACCAGCCAACTGCTGCACCTGGCACACTAGAATTCGCCTATCGATATGAACAACTGATGCATCAGGCGGTAGAGCAGATGCATAAAGCACAGGCGTTAATGATAGAATCCGAAAACAAACACCGCCGTCCATCAACATTCCAGGTAGGGGATAGAGTCTGGGTTAAGTCCTCTGAACTGGGCAGGAGCACGGTATTTCCCGTAAGCTCATGCCACATTACTTTGGGCCTTGGGAGGTTCTAGATATTGCCGGGGATGATCTGGATGGGCCATCGTACGTAATTCACATCCATAGTCACCTACGCACTTACCCTGTCTTTCACGCATCCAAGCTCGCACCTTTCAAGGAAACCGACCAGTTTCCTTCTCGTCACTCAATGCTGCCCCCAACCATGGATGGAGAGGTTGACATCGGCGACTTCGTGGTCACAAGGAAATGCCAGTTCCAAGACCGGCAGGCAGGGGACATCCCCCTAAGCCGAAGCTGCAATACCGCGTTCGGTTAAGACATCATGCTGACCCTAAGGAGGACATTTGGTTTACCCGGGAGGAACTAATGCAGACCGCTCCACAGGCTGTCACCCACGACGAGAACTCACTGCAGAAAGGAAAGCGCCAGATTGAGTAATTGAACTTCTCAGAGGACTATCGAAGCATGGAGGAGGGAATGCGAGGCTCAAGGCCTCGACGAGCCCTACTGGGCCCTGTTTTCAACAGTGTCGGCCGCCCTAAGTGAAGGCAGGCCCGACCAAGGACAAGAGGCCTATTTTCGGCTACCACGCAACTGGGGAAATTCAGACGGTTGCGCAGCGCCAGTTGGTTGAGAGCGCCCAGGCCCTGGCTGCCTTTTTCAAATGTAACCGAGGCAGGCCCTGGGCCAGATACGCAACATGGACCGAACACAGGCTGCGGGCAGTTGAACACGGGTAACCGCCATAGGCTCTGGGCCTGATTCGCTTGGACTGGGACTCAGCCACTTGGGGCCTACTGGAAGCTTCTGGGCAGGGGCCCAGCGCAGCCAGGCCGGACGCAGCAGGCAGGCCACTTCCATTTCGGAAAGTGCCTGCCCTCGCATTTGGCATTTGGGCACTTGCTAGTTGCTGCGCAAGCGCTGCTGCGCTACTGGCAGGCAAGCGCCCATGCGGTCATGGGCGAGCAAGGAACACGCAGGAAGCCATAGCCGAGCTGGCCTGCAAGGTGCTGGATGGGCCTCATGGTGGTCCTTGGGTGCACGTGGCATTTGTGTGGGGGATCGAGGTTGTGAGTGATGCGTGAGACATACCTGGTGCTTGAGGCGAACGACATTGGCCGAGATCTGCTCGTACTTCGGGGAACTGTTGACGTCACCAGAGACATTGTAGATAGGCAAGATAGGATCTGCCATTCGTAGTCTGGGCACCTAGGGAATCGACATTGGTTCATTGTTGATGATGATGAGATTATTCCAACATTGTCACTTGTGAGCTTTTGCTGTGCTCTTATTTGGTGGAACTCGTGTTGCAATTCTGCTTTTGGTTCGAGGTCACGACTATCTGGTTTCATGTGTATGATGCTGCTTGGTTTTCTGGAATTCGTTATCGCTCACTTTCCTTGCATAAGGCTGTTTCAATTGATTCAACCACCAGTACATGGCCCCAGGCAACTGGAGAACCTGTTTTGAGCCTCTCCAAAAATTTAGGAGGCCGAGCGCCGTAGATAAAATGAATCGGCGGTGGGCGGCCTCTGAAAGGGGTCCGCGGCCGATAGCTGGCATGTACTGGTGGTTTAAGGGGTCGTTGTGGCGACAGTTTAAAACACACACACACACACACACACACACAGACACACACACACACACACACACACACACACAGAGAGAGAGAGAGAGAGAGAGAGAGAGAGAGAGAGA